GAGCGTGTTGGCGATCTGTGTCGCTAAACTGCTTTGCGCTGTTGCGCTGCTGCGCTGCTCGCTGCTGCGCTGATGACTTTGCGCCGCTCTGCTGTTGCGCTGCTGCGCTGCTTTTCTGCTGCACCGCTGCGCTGTTGCGCCGCTGAAGCCGCCTCCGTTGACGTGCGCCGCTGCGCCGTTGAGCTGCTGCGCCGTTCCGCTGTTGCGCCGTTGCGTCGCTGCACCGCTGCGCCGTTGCGCCGCTGCGCCGTCGCGCCGCTGCGCCGTTCGCGGTTGCGCTCTTGCGCCGTCGCGCTGCTGCGCCGTTGCGCCGCTGCGCCCTTGCGCCGCTGCGCCCTTGCGCCGCTGCACCGCTGCGCCGTTGCGCTGTTGCGCTGTTGCGCCGCTGCGCCGTTGCGCCGCTGCGCCGTTGCGCCGCTGCGCTGTTGCGCCGTTGCGCGTTTGCACCGCTGCGCTGTTACGCCGTTGCGCGGCTGCGCCGCTGCACCGCTGCGCCGTTTTGTTGCGCCATTGTGCTGTTACGCTGTCGCGCCTTGGCGCATTTGCGCCATTGCGCTGTTACGCCGTTGCGCTGTTGCGCCGCTGCGCCGTTGCGCCGCTGCGCCGTTGCGCCGCTGCGCTGTTGCGCCGTTGCGCGTTTGCACCGCTGCGCTGTTACGCCGTTGCGCGGCTGCGCCGCTGCACCGCTGCGGCCGGTGCGCTGTTGCGCCGTTTGGCTGTTGCGCCATTGCGCTGTTACGCTGTCGCGCCTTGGCGCATTTGCGCCATTGCGCTGTTACGCCGTTGCGCTCGCTGCACTGCTGCGCTCCACCGTTGCGCTGCCGCGCCGTTCTGCTGTTGCACCACTGCGCTGTTGCGCTGCTGCGCCGTTGCGCCGTTCCGATGTTGCGATTATCCTACCATATCCTGCCGTATGCTGTCCAATCCTGTCTTATCCTACCTTCTCCCATCTTCTCCTATCGTATCCTATCTTATTCCATGTGTCTATCTATCTATCTAGATAGCTATCTATCGAGATATCATATCTGTCCTATCTTTCCTGTCTGTCCTTTTTGTCTTGTCGTATCAAGCCTATCTATGTTGTCCATATTACCTATCTGGTCTATCCGTTGTGTCTTATCTGCCTTGTCTATCATATCGATCATATCTATACTACCTACCTTATCTACCTTACCTACCAAATCTTATCTTATTATACATTATCCTGTCTTATCCTGTCTTTCCTATCGTGTCCTGTATTGTCCTATCTTATCCTATATTATCCTGTAGTATCCTATCTTGTCCTATATATCCCATGTTGGCCTATCTTGCCGTGTCTTATCCTATCTTAGCCTATCGTATCCTTTGTATAAATCGAATTATCTACCTATAATACATCTATCTATACATCTATGTATCGGTCAATCCTGTCTTGCCCCATCTTATCCTATCTTACCCTATCTTACCCGACCTTATCCTATCTCATCCTACCTTACCCAAAATAATCCTATATTACCCTATCTTATCCCGTCTTCTCCTCTCTTATTCTATCTTATCCCATGTTATCCTGTCTTATCATGTCTTATTCTGCATGTCCCTATCTTAACCTATCTCATCCTATGTGCCTATCTATCAATCTACCAGCCTACCCAGCTATCCTATCTATCCTATCGTTGCTATCTATCTCATCGTATATGTAAGTCTTATCGCTCTTATCTATCATATCATATGTACCTTATCGACATTCCCTACCTTGTCTTGTCTTATCATATGTTATCGTGTCTTACCCTATCTTAAGTTATCTTTCCTGCTTTGTCCTATCTTATCCCATCGCAGCCCTCGCATCCTATCTTACCCCATATTATCCTACCTTATCCTGCCTTACCCTATCTTGACATATCTTACCTTATCTTACCCAATCTTTTCCTATGTATCTATCAATCTATCTACCTATCTATCCTGTCTCCCCTGTATGTCCCATCTTTCCTATCTATCTCATCGCATGTAGCTTATGAATCGTTTCTATCCTACCTATCTGATCTATCTTATCTCTTACCTGCCTGATCTATCTTGTCTATCATGTCTATCCTATTTATCTTCTCTACCTTGTCTACCTTACCTACCTTTACATTATCCTGTCTTAGCCTACCTTAACCTATCTTATATTACCGTATGCTATCTTACTCTGCCTTATCCCATCTTGTCCTACCTTACCCCATGTTAGCCTATCTTGCCGTGCCTTATCCTATCTTATCCGACCGTAGCCTATCTTATCCTATGTGTATATCTGTTTATCTATCATCTATCTATCCTATCTATCTGATTTTCTCCTAACTACCATATCTACCCTATCTTTCCTGCTTGTCCTCTTTATCTCATCGCGTCTATCTTATCTATTTGTCCTGTCTTATCTACCTGATCTACCTTACATGGCTTATCTACCTTGTCTATCATATCTATCACATATATATATATATATGTGTGTGCTATCTACCTTATCTATCCTAGCTGCCTTATCTGATCTTATCACAAATTGTCCTGCCTTATCTTATCTGAGCCTATCTTATCCTGTATTTTCCCGTCGTATCCTATCTTATCATGTCTGATCCCATCTTATCCTGTCTTATCCCACGTTGGCCTATCTTGCCGTGTCCTATCCTATCTTGCCCTATGTACCTATCGATCTATCTATGTTATCTCTGAGACTGCTGGGGCTCAAAACACAAGTGATTGAAACATATTATTAACAACAAAAACGGAGCGAACACCTGCAAAAACCACGAAAACGCGAACACCGCGAAAGCCCCCAAAACCGCCAAAACGCGAAAACCGCGAAAACCACGAAAACTGCGAAAACCGTGAAAACGCGAACACCGCGAAAACGCGAAAACCGCACAAACATCGATTTTCTGGGTTCTTTGGGCTTTCTCGGTCTTCTAGGTTCCCTCTGTTTTCACGGCTTTCTCGGTTTTATCGGTTTTCTCTGTTTTCCAGTTTTCTTGGTTTTCTCGGTTTTCCGGCTTTCTCGCGCAAATCCGGTTAGCTCCGTGTCGCTCAAAACGATTGCTTAGCAAGCTTGGCTGCCATCAGGTTTTCGCCTTCAAGCAAAGGAGGCAACCTACCTTTCTTTAAAGTGAGGTTTGCCCTCATAAACATGACATTTAGGCTGCTCATGCTATCTGAAGTACTCGGGAGTCAGTTAGCGATCGGGAACTGAGCTCTTAAAACGACCAAACTCGCTCTAGGAGAAACGGCCAATCGAGCGAAGCAACGGAGCAACCGGAGCGGGGCAACGCAGCGCAGCAACGGAGCAACAGAGCAAGGCAGATCCGCGCAACAACGGGCCAACGGAGCAGAGCAACGGAGCAACGGAGCAGAACAGCTTTGCAGAACAGCGGGGGAACGGAGCGGAGCAACGGAGCAACGGAGCAACGGAGCAACGGAGCGGAGCAACGGAGCAACGGAGCGAAACAGCTTTGCGCCACCACGGGGGAACGGAGCAGAGCAACGGAGCAACAGAGCGGAGCAACGGAGCGGAGCAACGGAGCAACGGAGCGAAACAGCTTTGCAACGGAGCAACGGAGCAACGGAGCGAAACAGCTTTGCGGAACAACGGGGGAACGGAGCGGAGCAACGGGGCAACGGAGCGAAACAGCTTTGCGCCACCACGGGGGAACGGAGCAACGGAGCAACGGAGCAACGGAGCGGAGCAACGGAGCGGAGCAACGGAGCAACGGAGCGAAACAGCTTTGCGCCACCACGGGGGAACGGAGCGGAGCAACGGAGCAACAGAGCGGAGCAACGGAGCGGAGCAACGGAGCAACGGAGCGAAACAGCTTTGCGCCACCACGGGGGAACGGAGCAACAGAGCGGAGCAACGGAGCGGAGCAACGGAGCAACGGAGCGAAACAGCTTTGCGGCGCAACGGGGGAACGGAGCGGAGCAACGGAGCAACGGAGCAACGGAGCGAAACAGCTTTGCGGAACAACGGGGGAACGGAGCGGAGCAACGGAGCAACGGAGCGAAACAGCTTTGCGGAACAACGGGGGAACGGAGCGGAGCAACGGAGCAACGGAGCGAAACAGCTTTGCGGAACAACAGGGGAACGGAGCGGAGCAACGGAGCAACGGAGCGAAGCAGGTTTGCACGACACGCTTTGCCAACGCTCTGGAATGTGCGCCTTTGCTCATTGCCTAACACACGCCGCCAGGGAAACCCTCATAACATCATGCGCCAAAACAGGAATCATCGGAAAGTTGTTGATGGCAGCTCGTGTCTGAGAACCTGTGCAACACAACACTTGTCGCAGACGGCCTTCCACAATCCCACGCTCCATGCTTTACATCATGATGTGAAAGAGCTGAGCAGAGCTGCGACGTCACCTTTTCTGGCCCCCGAAAGCACAAGCGAAGAGCTTAGTTCGTGAAGAGAGGAGATGACCATGGCGGCTGTGGCGGTGGAGGCTTGTCCATCGCCTGCCGAAGAATCGGTAGTGGAAAAGATGCATTGTAAACAATTTTAATGATTGAGGGGCATGCTTGTGTTCTGAAAAAGCTGCTCAAATACAACTTAGCATCGGAGCCTGTGACGGTGCCAATGTTCCAAAGCCTGGCACTCTAAAACCTCAGGGAGCATGGGCTTGACGGCTGTGCACAGGATGTGAAGCAGTATAAGCATGGTGAATGGTCGCTTTTCGCATGGCTCCCTGATGTTTACTTTGCCTGTCTCGTGTCATTGACTGAACGCAAATACCAGCTACGGAATCAAATGTCTGACCCCGTGCATCCCTGCACCCAACAAGTTCTCAGGCTTCTGCTCAACGAAGGCGGACCAGCTCCACTGAACAAGTTTGGAGCTGTTAGGCCTCCCATCCATGGCGCACGGAATGCACCATCAAGCCCATTCCATTGACCAGTGAAGAGTTATCCTTCTTCCGGACAGTGCAGCCGACTTCAGAAACAGAACGGGCGAGTGTCATGACATGGTGCGATCCTAAACGAGAGAGGGTTGTCTCATAGCAAACAATGTAGCGCTCTCCTAAAAAAAACCAGACCACTGTGCATTCGGAAAGCATCATTGGCTTGAGGTGGTTCAAAGCAAATGGACTGCACGGTACCTAGGCTCGTCTACTGCAATGCCTTGAGCTTTAGCTACGCACCTTTGATTTCTGGCACAGCGAAACGGACACATCATCGAGCCTCATCACATTTCAAGTTGAACACTGTGGATCCTTCCAGCCTGCAAGTGGCATGCCAGGCTCCATCCTGAAGTCATGAAACCGCGGCTTCAGATTGTTCTGCATGTGTGTTGCTGAGGACAAGACTCAACCCGAGGCTGCCCAGGATATTGAGAGTGCTTTGTTTGGTGGCGTGGCGTGTGATTTCCGTGAGTAGGCGATCTGGGTGATGGCCAGTTAGCCACGTCCGGTGCCTTTCCAGGCTGTGGCCAATTAGCCACATCCGGTGGTTTTCCAGGCTGCGACCTGCAAACACACACCCGAGCATTCTCAAGCGTGCCGGCGTCAAGTTTCCGGCCTCAGCGGCGGCGGCGGCGGCGGCTCAGGCAACTGTCGCTGCCCCGGGTCCTTGCAAAGGTCGGACCAAACCGCAAACGCCAAGGACGCACAATCCACACTGCGCCTCGCCCACCCCTCCGCACCATCCAAACCATCTGATCCCCCCAGGAAGCATAGCAGTGTGGGGGGGGGGCGAAGCGCCACGGTTGTATCAATTTGTAGGGGCCCGACTTCCCTTCACCGATTCAGAGTCAGGTCGGCCAGGCGGTGGGGGCCCGGACCGATCAAAAGAACACCAAAAGTCAACCAAGTCGGAGCTGTCCAGCAAAGGCAAAAAAGGACAAATAAGGCAGAATGGATTGCAAGCGTCATGAATACAATCTTCTCCAACAGCTGTGTTCGCATAGAGGGGTCGGCAGCACTGATGAGCCATTGAATGACTTGACGTCCGCATCACTAAGGCAATGACGGAGCGTTGACCAAAGCTGTCTGCGTGACGAGCCTGGCACCTCAGCTGCTACAGCAATATCCCCTGCCTTCCAAAAAAGAGCGGTGGGGAATCCCCCAGTTCTATGTGTCTGCTCTGCCAGTCTTCCAAAAACAAATAATTTCCGAAACCATGATCGAAGTTCCTACTTTGAGGGGTCGGAGATGGCTAGTCGGAATAGTCTTGTCATATTGGGAGGGCGTGCATGCATCATGCGCCGGGCTGACAAGCCTTGCTAAAACAAACACCAGCATCACAGACAAGCCACCTGCGGTCATTTGGTTGGGTCTTGTCAAGCAGATCCGCTGGAGCTGAGCTGTTGGGCCTCAAGTCATCGCGAGGACACATTCTGTCTCGCCAGGCGCAATGTCTCTTGGTGAAGTGAGCTTTGGGCGGCAAGCAGGGTTTACAAATGCGCGGCAATCCCCAAACCAGCAAGTTCTGAGCTCGATACACAGGCGGTCTATGTCCATTAACATCTCGCTGAGGAGTATAGCTCACTCCTTGCACCTGAGCAACTTGGGATCTGGTCTCATCAAGCCGTGCCCGCGTATTCCCTCAGGCTGACAATGTTTGCACTCATTAGAAGAGTTACAGAAGGGTGGCTTCCTTCGCCGTACCTTGCAGCACAGGCTTTGATCAGTTCGGCTCAACTCTCAGTCTCACACTCTCCGCTCCCAAGTTAAGCACTTTGAATGATCCTTCGCGACCCTCCACATTATGATGCACAAGATCCGACCACGGTGGCCGTGCGTGCACCTGGACACTTCAACTGCCTGATGCATTGACATCTCTTGTATTCGGAAGCAGATTGTCCACACGCAAGAGCACACACACAAATACACAGCCACTCAGACACACGTGCACACGTGCACACGTGTACACGTACACACGTACACACGTACACACGTGTACACACACACACTTGATATGAGACGGCGAAACTGACAATGCGCATCCCCATGCAGACACAGGCTGTTTGAAGGTCTCCGGCAGGGCAATGGAGTTTCGGCACCGAGGAAGTCTAGACATCTTTCGCTAACGCACTCTCCTCTTCCGGACCGCCAGCAGTGCGTTAGTTACTCCATGCTAGATCGTCCAAGGCGGTGGCGGCCGACTCCAATAAAGAAAGAAAGGCACAACCGCAGAACCCCTTAGGAACAGGGGGGCCACACACACACCCCCGCAGGGGGAAAAAAGTTCTGAAAGCCGCCTCCATCATGATTCTCGATGGGTGATTTGGTCGGTTTTTTTAACTCCTGCCTGTGCTCGCCGACTTGCGGCCATGCTGACATGTGGCTTCACTGCCTAAGTTCAGGTGGCCTTCTGATGCTGTTCCTTCACCTTCCTGAGGCGCTCCAGACTCTTCCAGCGCTGCGTGACATCCGCGATGGACCGGTTGAGCTTCTTTGCCAGACTTGTACGAGTACTTGGACCGGCTGTCTCCCTTCAAGCTGCAGAGCTGCTGGTCATCTTCTTCTGTCCAGGCCCGAGGTACTTCCGGGGGAGTCCCGGGGTTGCCGGCATCGGAGTGAGCATGAGCAGGAGGTTCAGGAAGAGATTCAGGAGAGGACAATAGCCCAGCGCAAGGAGATACCGGGGCCGGTGCTGGAGTGCGAGGCGCTGGGTGTACCGGACGTTCCGGGGAGTTCGTGTGCGGCATCTCTTCCGCTTAGTTCGGCGTCGATCAGTACCCTTCTTGTCCATGATGGAGCGGGGAATATTGGCCTTCTTGATGCTCGGCTGACCAACATAGGCGTGCGCCATGGGGCTCTTCGAGCGTGGGTCTATAGCCTCGTTGGTGTCCCCCGTGACGATGCCGTAGGACAACGACTTGGGGTTGGCCACCGCTTTGTGCCTTTGTGCCTGTGGTCTGCGTGTGACTGGAGTGACTGGAAGCCAACTGGTGGCGGAGGGTCGCTCGGAGTCTCTGAATTGACCGAGTTCAGCATCACCGGGCCAGGTGGGTCTGCCTCATCGACTCCAGCATGATCAGGTGCTCGTGGTCGCGATGATGCTGCCAGCGACCGGCCTCGGACATGCTGTTGCCGCAAGCGACCTTGCCCGTCATGGTGCCAGCGACCGTGTGCCTCGTCAGCCTGATTCAGGATGAGCTGCATCATGTCCGCAGCGTTCTGGGTCATACGGTGGTGAAGTGCTATCATGCGCCCGAGCATGGCGACCGCTCTCCGATGTCGGCGAGAAGGCCAACACTTCTTGAACCAGCGAACGGGCTCCGTGATCAACACAAGAGTCAAAAACCCCAGAAACCGAAAAGAAGAAAAAACACCCGAACGCAAAAGCCAAAACAAGCCGAACCAGGTCCCAAGAAAGACCGAAAAGACAAAAGCGAGCCACAAAGCCTAACATCGAAAGACAGCGACAACTGGCACTTAAACGTTCTTTCTGGTTGGGATCGCCGGAAGATGAAACAGGTGCTGCAGGTCAGCTGACTTGTAGCCGGCGGACAGATAAATACTGCGGAGCTGATCCAGTGCCATCTGTACTGCTCTGGCCGGGTGCGCGTACTTGGTGGCAAGGGCTGACCGTGATCTGGCCCCGGAGAGAAGGGTGGAGAGACTTCCTGCAGTGTGGGGTCCTCTGATCTGCCAGATTTTTGTTGGGGTTTTGTAGTAAATCGCCCGGTCGCCCACATCGATGACGAAGCCGAGAAACTCAGAAGATCCCACCTGTTCCAACACGATGGGGGCGCCGTAAAAGTCAGCTCGGAGCAGAGCCTCCAATGGAGCTGCTGGGTGACCGGAGGCCGGAGACGGGAAGATGACAAATCTGTTGTCCACATATCGCTCCAAAAAGATGTTGTGACTGGCGAACCATTGTCCGTAAATACGCTGCCAAATAACTTCGTGCCTCGCGACACATATGTGGCTGAGAACTGGGCTCAGCTGAGAACCAATCGCCGTCCCGTGGACTTGGCGCAGAATGAGAGTTCCCACCTGGACATACATGCATTGGAAACTGGACTTGACGATGCCCAGGATGTCCTCCACGTAAATGACCCGCGTGGTCGGCGTACGTCCGTAGGATTGCTTGCCCGCAAAGACCCGATTGTGGTGGACAGCTGCCTGAGTTTCCACTGAATGGACGAGACCGGGGTGCCCTCGCTGGTGCTCTGCTAATAGCTGCTCTACTGCTGCGCACACTTGATCCTGAGGGACACTGTTGAAGAAGCCAACCAAGTCGTCATTGTGGAATGCAAGGGTGACTGTATCGTCTGTGTTGTCAAAGTAATGTTTGACGTTCTGCCATATCCTTGGCGTGGGGTGTATCCCCCATGAACACTTCCATGTAACCGCTGCGATCTCGCCGAGGAGGATTGCAACCGCTTTGAAGAGCTGCCGATGTACCACCTTATGGTATGCTATAATAGTCCGCCCCGATTTCCATTGCTTCTTGCGTTTGAGAAAAACTTTCCCGACCGGGATGGAGGTGGTCTTCTTCCTGTATGCCCATTTGTACCTCTTCTGCAGGTGCCGCGGAATAGCTTCAACAATAAGAGCCCCGGCTTGATCGGGCTTCAGTGGAGTAGCTGCAAATGTGCCGGACTGAAGCCAGGTGTTGTGGAGGCCTTTGAAGTAGAGTTGGGGGCAGAAGAACATGAGGTGGTGGTTGTCATGGTCCTCGTTGTGGCACACAAAGTCCTGGCTGAGGTGCCGATGCAGGATGTTCAGCTGGTGCTTGGTGAGAAGTTGATGGGTGGATGCGTGCTGCCGGTGTTTCCGAAATTCATTGCGTAGGTGCTGCATGAGGGGTGCGTGGAATTGGTCCAGGGGCACTCAGGGCATGGTGCAAGAAAATGGTTTGAACCATAAAAAAAAAAACAAAAAAAAAAAACAACAAAAAAAAAAAAAAAAACAAACAAAAAAAAAAAAAAAAAAAAAAAAAAAAAAAAAACAAAAAAACACAAAAAACTAAAAAAAAAAAAAAAAAAAAAAAAAAAAAAAAAAAAAAAAAAAAAAAAAAAAAAAAAAAAAACAAAAAAAAAAAAAAAAAAAAAAAAAAAAAAAAAAAAAAAAAAAAAAAAAAAAATAAAAAAAAAAAAAAAAAATACAAAAAATAAAAAAAAAAAAAAAAAAAAAAAAAAAAAAAAACACCATTTCGTAGGAGTTCATCCGAACTTGGCACTTTGTAAACTGATGGGTTCCAATAATACGACGCCAACGCGAGTGTTAGTGAACGGTTGTAGTAAAGATGTGTTCTTGAGGGGTTCCCGGAAACCGGAACTCATCTAATCCCGCGGCCACATGGCCTTGAACGTGAGACAGCCAGGGCTGACGTTGTAGCCAGGCTGCGCACTGACACGATGATGGTCCGGGGGATGTGAAGGGGTAGCAGTCCTGAAATGACGAGAAGTTCCACATGACCGTATGGACCCGAGGATGAGGGGTCTCCGCCAGCTTCGTGCTGGGCAAGTGAAATGGAAGGGCCCAGTTGCGGTGGTCGAGGACGAGACGACGAAGCACTTCCCTGGTGGACCGTTGATAATGTGGGTGGGACAGCCACGGTAATCGCAATAACAAATTGATCTTGGGTTGCTGAAGTTGACGGAAATCAAGAACTCTTCGCAGAATGTTGCGAACTCGATGCCGATGAGGCTGTTCCACATTGCCAGATAGCCTGTATATAGCATAGATGTCCAAGTCTGAATGCCGTCCACTACGAAGTCGTTTTTCCTCCTCCCAGGATTCAATGTGCTCCGAGGTGAGGCGAGCAATGATGGACCAGGCTTGGGTGTGTTTGAGCGCCACTCGATGGAAGTTCCTGCCGTAGACAGTGCAGCTCCTCCTGCGCAAGCGGAGGAAAAGGCGTTTGCCGAACCTGGACCAGGGCTGTTCTGCAAGAAACCTGGTGGCCGTGTAGCCGGTGGAGATGCGCTTGTATCGCCGATGAATGTAGGGCCAATTGAGCGACGGCTGATAAATGCTGATCAAGGCATGTTCCTGGGTCCAGGTGACCCTGTGGTCGGGGTCTGTCAGGATGACCCATGTAGCGAACTCGTCATAGTTGTCAAAGTGATGCCACCATCTGAGAGCTGGTTCCGCATTGATGAATTGTCCGTGTTGAATACCCAGTAACTTGGCCCTACGATTGTGTTCTCGACTAGGATAAGTGATGCTGGTGCTTCCAATGTATACGTCCGACTGCGGGTTGACGGAGCGTGGAAGGTCCGGGCGGAGTTCGACTCGCTGCTTCCAGTACACTGCATTGGGCTGCGAGAAGTGGGTGAAGGTGTACATGTTCGGGTGGATGCGTAAACGTCGTAGTCGGCGTCTGAGTTCCGTGAGGCGGGACGACCGTAGTGATGAACCATGAGCAGCGTGGACAGTGACTCGGCCCACATGGACAGTTGCTTGTTGACCATCGGCATGTTGAGGATTCTGCGACTTGTGATGATGATCTGATAGAGGACCTGATAATACTGACAGGATGCGTGGACGTCGAGCGAGTCGCCGAGTCTGAGTGCGATAAGCGCCGTGAGGTAGGGAAGGAAATAATCGGTGCCGTGCTGCAGGCTCACTGGCCACGATGGCTCGGGAATACCATTGTGTCTGGCAGCACCGTATAGTTCTGACCGTTCATACTTGCCGTAGAGCTGCCAAAGAAACACCGTCTCCGGAGATTGAATGACCGGCATGGCTTAGCCATGCATCCGACGCTCGAGCACTGAATGGTTGATTGGATCAACTTGGAACAGCTTGGAACAACGCCGGCCCGTAACTCCAAGATCCTAAAGGAAC